GCACAATTTAAAAAAAGATTCTTTAAATATCCTTGTAATAAAAATTGTAAACATTTTCCTGGGTCCATAAATACGTCCTTAAAAATCACTGTCTCATAACATTATAAATTGGACAGATCAAAAATATATGCTTTATAGACAAGTTGGTGCTACAGTATTGTCAAGGGATGTGGTTAACATGGTTTGTTCCAATGCATTGAATGCATTTTATTGATCTTATTGTGAATGATTCATCCATCCAGCTTATTAATTTTTAATCAAACTGTCACAGCTGGGTCTTCCAGTGACATTAGTCAACAACAGTCTTTTCTCTGGTGATGAATGGTGATTTTAATTGAGAAAACCTTACTATTTGTATATTATTTTGCCTAAAGAGTTCATGATTATACTGATACATTCCAGTGTTTGGTTTTAATCATATTTGTGTTTTATTTTAGTATGGGAAAACATTTGGAAGCATAACCACTGAGAACCACTGCTACATAATATGCATATTACCATTCTCACCTCAGTAAAGTCATGATCTCCTCTGAGGCTCGTCGATAGTTCTTTTTTTTCTTTCCTGAGGCGGGTGCTGCCGGTAGAGTGGCACTCCGTAGTGAAGGAGTGGCGCCCCAGACGTTTCTTCCGGTCATACGCAGGCCCTTGCCTAATTTGCCAAGGGTCTTCAGTGGTGACGAGCCACAGATTCGTTCCAGAGTTCCTCTCTTTTCTTTGGATCCCTCAGTGACCTTTGACCCTCCACGCTGCTCTGCGTTTGCCTCATTCTCCAGTGCTTCGCTCACCTGAGATGATCTCTGGTAGTCTTGTCCATTCTCCCAGACCCCACCTTCTTCATTATTCCACCCCATGCCTGCCCACGCCCCCTCAAATGGATTCAGATCAGATGGTGGTAGAATGAGTTCCCCGTTGCTGTGGTTACTCTTTAGGATTAGTTCACCATTAGTAAGATTACTCTTTTGGAGGTCACCATTGCTGTGGTTACTTTTGATCCTCCTGGGCAGCCTCTTGAGGATGGGCATCCTGTCACTGATTAACTAGAACACAAAACGGACATTGTAACATAAGTCAGAATCAATTGTTATCTCATGTAATTGAAAAACATTGGTTTTGAGCATGTCAGAAATACTGCTGCTGCTCATATAATATATGGAATAACCCCCATAGCATACATGAATCACCCAGTAGCAGACCTATACAGGTGGAGCTGGGGAAGGTGAAGGGTTTCTGAAGGGTGCTGCAACTGTTACAGCAAGCACTAGCCAAGTATTTGAATGTTGAGCAGCAAGCTCATTGCCTTCTGATACAAAAAGAACCAATCAGGTGCACCATGTGATAATGTCATTATGTCCGATTGAGCTACACCTATTGGACTGCGCCATCTAGAGTTTAATATCCTGAAGATGTCATTTTAGAGGTCACATCCAATTAAATTCCACTGAGGTCAATTATTTTCAGTAATTAGATTACATTTGAAAATGTATATATTTTATTGATTATATATACATATAAATTACTATTCATTTTTTATTACATTTACTTGTTAAATTCATTTAAACAAGATTTTCTTGTATACTGTATCATGTTAGTAAGCATGTCTGAAGTGCACTTTGTGTCCTGCTTAAAGGTAACCAGAGCTAAAAACCTGTTCAAACCGCCTTTGTCAGGTCTTTCTTAAATGGCTTTGCCTTGTAGCATTCTCATTGTTCAGTATTCCGGTGAGCTGAGTGCATTAACAGCATATGTATGTGTGTGTTCTTTGAGGACATTAGCAGTTTTTAAGCTCCTGTAATGGAAGCTTCCATCCAGATGTGTCAGAATAGTTTCCTGTCCTCAGAGTTTCTCAGAACATACACACTCCTTACTCAAACACAAACACACACACGCACTTTTTGCAAAGTCTCTCAGGGGATTAATAAAGTATCTAACAAATTCTACACAATCTGCAATCTACATTTTAAAATGGTCAGTACTTTAGTAATAACATTAAGAGCATTCCTTGTGCAATTTGAACAAAGATTCCTGAAATATATATTAAGATAAAGAGGTGAAGATAGAGTAGAGAGAGAGCGGGCAAGGGAGGAAGGGAGAGGGAGGAAGGTGCTGTTGTGTAGCACACAGTGAACCCTGTGATTGTGTTTCAGCATCCCTGCTTTGCATTATTTCTGAGCAGAGTTCCCCTGTTGTGGTGGTTAAAGACCTGTGTTGGGAACCAAAAGGTTCTAGGTTCAAACTCTTTAGTTTCATCAATCACAAGCATCACCATTGTACCCTTCAGCAAGGCATTTGTGTCAGCTGAATGAGTACTTGCATCTTTCACCTAAATCAAACTGACCCATTTGGTTATTTATTGTCTGGATTCCAGGTGGACCTTCTGCAAGTATTTTTGTTCTTACATAATTCCCGGTAAAAGACGGGAAAACATCACTTGTAAATGTTGATGTTTAGAAAGGAACAAATTGTGTATTTCTCTAATAATATGTATGTGTTTAGAGACAGACAAACATTAAACAAACATCAACAGATGAAAATCAGCTGTAATGTAGAAACAGGACAAATGTAGAAACAGGACTGCCACAGAATCTAATAGTCTGGACCAGCGCTTGATTACCTACATAAAGGAAATGAAAGCACAATGAATTGCTAAGTTTTAGCAAGAAAAAAAAATGTGCTTGGCAAAGGATTTCACTCCGCATCAGATAAATATCAGATTAACAATTAATTAGTACAATTAACAAGCTAAAAAAAAAAGCAAGCAAGCAAATTGAATAATGTAAATTATGATTATCCCTAGTTATAGGTGAATTTCAATGGCATCAACACCAATAACTTGGAATTCTGATAACCCTTCAGAAATATGTTGGACAGATGTTACACATCTGAGAATACACTCTGGCACAGAGCAGTCTGCAGGACATTTGCTCTTGTTTGTTTATTAAAGCTATAGAGTGTACTAAATACCTGAATTACAGGAATAGTAAAGTCAGTGTATATGCAGTATAATGTTTTGAGCTGGAGCTGTTTAATTTGCCAAGCACTAAATGAGGCATTTGGAGTACATTTTGTTATAAATTAACATTTACACTATTAACTGATTAATTAAATTCAGGATCATCAGTACCTAATAATTATTAACTTAATAAAAAATAATAGACAAAAATATTTGTTCACATTATTCATGTCATGTGTTTGAGATCAGATCAGGGAGCAACAGTAAAGTGTATATGAATAACTAATTAAAATTGCCATTAAGAGTTTTAGAAAATAAATAAATAGTGTGTGCGTGGTTATATGTCATATATATACATTTGAATTATTATGGACAGTTATAAAGTTAGTTATATATATATATATATATATATATATATATGGTTACTCTTTAGACATTCTACTAGCTATAAGTAACTTTGCAACTGCGTGTCAGCTAACTATATATATGAAATTAATTTCTGTAAAAACCATTCCTGTAATTCAGGTATCATGTGAAACATTTTTTTTTCCATTTACTGTTCTGTCAAAATATGTTCTTGCATACTTTGTAAAGTGACTTTTACTTTTCCTCCTTTTTAAAAAAGGTTTTAATTTTAGGTTTTAGTTTTAATTTTGATAACATATTGAAGTACATATACAAATCTTAATCTGAAACAATCATGTGACTAATTTATCATCTGTATTTAGAAAGAAAACGGTAAAACTAAATTTGACTGATAATACAATAACAAAAATCTAAATATATGTACTGACAATAACCCAAGCATACAAGCACAAGGACCTATGCATCGCTTACCTTACGCTGCAGTGGGCAGTCAGCTCAGGGCAAATCCATTCCAGTGTCTGTGAGAGTGATAGAGAGCCTATCAGTAAGAGAGGGGCAAAGTGTGTGTGTCTGTCTCCAAGATTTTGGGGCCTTGTATTGGAATGTCGGAGGCAGCCATTCAGTTTGCTACCAGATGATGATGCATTTTCCTGAGGAAAAAGAGACACCCTCCCTAAATAAACAGAAACACACACACACCACTTATATACAGTATATACATACATACACACACACAACCAACAAAACATGTAGTTTCAAATACAGTTTTGACAAACAGTGAGCACCTCAACAGTTACTTTTTAATAATCATAATGTTCTTAATGTCAATAACCTTAATCTTAAACAGGTGACATACTAAAACTCTCCTATTAGAAGCGATGGAATTGGCTATTCCTGTAATTCTCATATACGAATGCTTTGCATTTGTCACCAAGATTTAGTTATTGGCAGTTGCTTTATTTCAGAGCTCTTCTGACTGTTACAGATAAAAATGAACAAAAACAATATATGTGTGACTTATCAAAAGTCCGTCTTTGTGCAAGGCACTTAACCCCAGGTTTTGCACCTCAAATTTAAGATTTCATTAGTTTGAAAGCAAAATCCTTACATTCCAGTGAATTTAATGATAGTCACCTCAGCTATTTTTATACACTCCAAAGTAGAAAAATACTGTCACATGATGTTCCTGTCAATTCATACTTATACACCTGCGATATAAGATGACACCGTATAAAAATATACTTTTAAAGCACAAAGGAGGAACAAGGTTTGGATTCATTTTGTGTAATTGTTCTTGAAAAATCCGAAGAACTCAACATTTTGGATGCTTTAGGAATGGTATGAAATCGCATGATTTAGCACAAAGCCCACTGGCCTCTTGGATAAGTGGTCAAGAACATCCAGTTGACTAGAATGAATCTACTAAAACAGTAGTTCTCAAACAGGGATCTTGTGCCCATTAGGGGACCTTGGCAAACTTCCAGGGGGGGCTTAAAATCTTAAAAATCAAAGCCTCAAAGTCTTAATTAAATTCCTAAAATAAAACACTTAATAAAAATGTTTAACCAACATCAGTTTTATTACAGTTTATTTTTATTACAACAGAAGTACTAGCGGTACATATCAGGTTAGATATGAGGGCCTTTTAATATCATCTTAGACAAAGGAGGACTTGGAGTCAAAAAGGTTGAGAACCACTGTACTAGAACATTCTATGACCTGGATAATTAAGAATCTTTACAGACAATTTTTGCATAACCTAAAAAACAAAAACAAATACAACTACTTTCGTATTTTTGCACTGAGCTGAAGAAGCAAAAACACAGACATAAATAGAAGGCACCACCATCAATACCTGCCTTAGTGTCACGTAGACCTAGCTCTTTAGTGTGTATCTAGAGGTGAGAGGCACTAAAATTCGGACAGAAGGGCGTGTGTCTGCCTCTGTATTACTTCTCCCTCTGGTGGATGATACGGAGATGCTCACTTTCACCTGCCATTAACACCACACACAAATTCAAAATAATTGTTACTTTTGTTAAACATTTATTGCATGAAATCTTCAATTTATAAACATGATTAACTGTGACAATATGTCCATATATATAGTGACTACTTGGATTTGGCACTTTCTTGTGATTGTTAACATGTTTTAGTATAGTATTGTGAATTTGTGGGGACGAAGATACCCGAAAACAACAAATATGACCAGATTAAACTTGCATACTGCTAGTTTCACTAATCAATCCTAACCGAGTCAAGCAACCAAGAACCCTGCAAACAAATTAATACTACTGCATAGATTTACTTACCAACAGTGATGAGGAATTTTACAACTGAACACTGTTAATATACCACTCTTATGAGTTTGTAAACAAACACCTCACAGTTACAGAGTTGCTAAACTAGTTGGATGCATCATATGTGTGTCCTGAGTCTGTGTTAGGGAGCTCAGTCCAGTGAGCGCAATTATCCAAACTGGATGCAATCACAGTGTCTGATGTGTTGGAAGTTGATGGTTGCCTCCGTGATGATGGATGTTGCCATGGTGATGGGGATAAGTGTGGAGACAGGGATGCTCAATTCCTTCATTCTGCAGCTCTTCCTGTTTATGGAGACCATGCAGCTTCTGCAACAGCTCAGCAATAAAAGCCTGAACACACACACAGAATAACCTTAATCTAGGTGTACACGCTTGAAGAAATTGTGCAGAATAAGCATGAAAATATTTGTAATTACTCAAATTACAGTCAAGTGTTCCTGTTACACAAACTAGTTAATTCAAAATACTAATTATATAGTAGATGTAATGTTTGATCATAATCTTGTATAATATTAGGTATGTTCCATAATTAGAGCACATGTTGAAAAACAAAATATAGAAAATATGCTGTAAAATATATAACATGCAGAAATGATCTTCTACTGGTTGTTCAGAGTTAACCAACTAAAACTCTTAAATATCTTCAGCAGATGTGTATGTGTACCAGTCAGCAGTTTTTGTTTACACTATTAGTGGCCATTCACACAGAATGCATTTTTCCATTCCAGTGTGCAACTCTTCCATTGTTTTTCTATGTAAACACAAGCTAGACAGATGTGTTTGACCACTGTGCGCGTCTCGTGTCTTTTGCAGCATCTAATGACACAGCATTCTAAAAGATAAAATAAAAGTTTAAATAAGTTAAATCTTTAAAAAAAAAAACGCATCTCTCCAAAATGCATTTTCCCCATTATTCTGGCTGTGTATTGCATGTGTCAAAGCAAAAACGTGTTCTTAATCAAACTGAAAATGTTGAGAATTGTGCCTTGGTATGTCTCAAATGTGAAACCTGATTACGTTTTTCAGATGTTTATGTGTATGCGGTAAATGCCACGTTCCTCTCTACTGATTTTCCATGGTGTGTCAGCACTTCAACACTAGCTTACCCAGAGGCACACGATCTTCTGCGCATACACGCATAGTAACAATCATGTACATACACTAATCAAAAGGCTGAGAAAGAACATTGTTAAAGAGCCCCAATGAAAGAATGGCTTTGTACTAACTGAGAGAAATAGGGGCATGGGGAAAGAAAGAGAACAAATCATTCATTCATTGTGATCACTGTGAGAAACGCGTGGAAGGGAGTGTCAGCCACTGCAGCGTTCCTCAGAGAGAGAGGGAGAGAGCGGGAAAGAGGGATGAAGAGGTAGAGTAACAAAAGGATGAGAAAACAAGAGAGGTCCATAGAGGGGTACTAAAGATGAGTAAACAGAAAGATAGAAAAAGAACAAGAAAAACGTTTGGAAAGCAAGTAGGATTTATGGATGAAGGATTGAGAAATGTACCTCAGTACTGCTGGTGCAGGTCTGCAGAAGAACCTGTAAAACAAACGTAAACAAATTCATTCTTGATTGTCATTTTCAATAACTTTATCTAAATGTAATTCAATTAAATTAGCTTAAGTCAATATTACTAAGAGTATTTACAACTCTGTAAACTAATGTGCACGCAGTAGAGAATATAAAGCCTTAAATGGTTCTGTATTGTCATTCAGACAAATGATAGTGGGCTTTATTTCTGAGAAAAAATGTTGAAAAGGGGGTCCCTGCAAATACCCAGGTCAAGGGACATGGTATAAAAGTTCTGGCATCCACTCATCTTCATCTAAAAGTAGAATGTCAGGCTGCTGACTTCAAGGTCAGTGGTCCATCTTCTACATGTTATTTTCATGGGAGATACAAACTTTAAAAATGGAAAAAAGAGCCAATATTTTGAATAGATAAATAAATGTATCATCTGAGCACTAATATGTCGGGCAACAACACAATCAGAAATGTTTACTAAAGCGGTTTTATTCTTCTCTAGAAGGTCTTTTAATTTAATTTTCCTGCCATTTGTGAGAGATTTTCCCAGAGCATTGGGAAAAACACTTCTATTTCTTTTCTGCATTTCTCCTGCATCTTGCTGCCTAATAAACCTGACATTGTATATTATATGAAAATTGTTGGCTCTTTGACAAATAGCTTTTGTCACTCTTTTGTAAGTTACATTGGACAAAAGCATTAGTTAATGCATAAATGTAAACGTAAATATGGCAAGGCCTAAATACAGGATGTGGTGTGAGAGAGAGAGAAGAGGATTATGGGACCTGTAGTTTGTGTGTTCGCTCTTCATCACTTGGGAGATCCAACAAATCATCAATGTTCACTTCTTCTGGCATGTCCTCCAAAATAAACAAAACAAAGCAACAAAAATTATTGAGGGTGCTGAAATAATGAACTATTCCAGAAAAGAAACACACAAACACACACACACACACACACACACACACACATATATACAGTTTTAGCAAATGGCTGCAATATAACAAAGAGTGAAAAATGTAAGGGGGTCTGAATACTTTCCGTACCCACTGTATATATATATATATAGACGTATATATATATAACTGTAAATTTGACATAACCACACAGTATTCATGTATGTATTCCAGTTCATAACACTGCCCGTTATATCTCATTGACCTTTCAGCAGCCTACAGTTTCTCAGAATATCTTCTCAATATTCCATAATTTCAGTGGAAAACGTTCTCCTACACAAGCTGAGGAGGAAATAGAGATAACAGATCACATAGCACAATTCCCGAGAGATATCTCTGCCGTCTCTTACTGTGGGACAGGGTCTCACTACACACACAGCTTATGTTTAGACGTCCTGCCTGCTGCTGCCCTTGACTGTTTCTCAGGGGGTGCCCATGTAAGGTAGCAATAGAACCAAGTGATCCACTCTGTAAATGAGGGAGAGAAAGCAGAACCTTCCCCGGTACCCCCAGAGGTCTGGTCCTTCTCGCCTTTTATGGGCAGCCAACATATCTAACATTATCCAACAACTATATTGTTCTGTCAGATATATTAATGTCACAGCATCGATCACACACTTACATTAACAAAGGCTGTTGTTCATAAATGTGAGACTTGCAGAACAATGTCTCACCTCATTCCATTTAAAAGTGCATAAGGAGATGCCAATACACACGTTATCAGCCTTTCATTTCATTGAGTGGTGTAAAATGTCTGTATTCCATGTACTTATTTCTCATGCATTTAAGTATCATTCTTATTCTTTAGATACTTATCGTCTCTACAAACATTTGTAAACAAAAGCTGATCCATGCGTACGTGTTCATGGACTTTAAAACAAAACAAGATAACTTTAGTTTGTAAAGTTAACTACATTCAACTATGCAGAAATGAAAACTTGTGAATTTACTGGAGAGAAAAGTAAGTGAATATTCGTACTTGAACCTGATTTTAAGAGTTACATGTACAAAACGTTTGTGGTCAACTTCTTAGAAAAGGAACTGTCACACATTTCACCAGTCAAACATTTCAAAATAACGAATGACACAGCATGTGTCTCCACGGCATTTGAAATGCATCGCTATCGTTTATTTTTCCATCAAAATACTTATTTTCTAGAGGTAATTAACCTGTAGCTTCTTCGAGTATCAACTCTGCACCAGCTGCACCTGTGAGGATGCGTGTGGACACTCACCTTTCCCTCGTACAGCTTGTCCAGCCCTTCGTCGATCCATTTCTCCACGTCCAACCTTTTCTGAAGCTGTTTGCGGTTGTATTTTACCGTAACGCGCGATTGGCGCTTATGCATGTTCATCCCGTGCTCTCGAGCGTTGTCTAAATCCGGGGAATGACCGGTATGTATCTCCTCAGCCATGTTACATGTGCCTGTGCTTGTCTGAGACTGAGCGCTTGAGGAGCGCGCCGCGCGGACAGAAGAATCTGAACTTCGCCTTTTGGATTTGATTGGACTTGATTGGATGCACAAAGTCAGATGCTCGTTTTTTTTTTTTAACTAAATTTCTGCTATTTTAATGGTACATTAATGACATATCTGCTATTTAATGGTATATTTAAAGATACATTAAAATGACGTGGAAAAAAATGTATATGAAAAACTTTGAAATTTTGAAAACGAAATGGTGTTCTAATGATCAGTCATTGTACAAGAAGAAAGAATGAGGCGTTTCTCATATAATTTATTTCTTTCAGTAAAGTAACAAAGACATACAAAATAAATTAACATAAATTCTTTACAAAGCCAAGACAATGATTGAAAGCAAAAGTACAAAAATGCAAAATAGAAACTTAGGCATAAATTTAGGATTAAATTAATAGGAAACATCTGACAAAAGAAATAAACATTCATTAGACATAAACCCCATTGAAGAAAATCAATTTAACATTTAAGAACCAATGACACATTTCCTCATGTCAGTCGAGGAAGAAAACACACTGCTTAATACGCAATACAAAACTGGAGCAAAATCTTACCATTGGGCCTTAAGAACATAGTTTAATCACATTCCTGACTGCTGCTTGCTTACTTTCTCGCCACATTTTTATTTGTTTGTTTATTATTACAACGTTTTTATTAAAACACCTGTTGCTGGCAAAATCCTGGCAAATAAACAAAAGTGATATTCTCATTCTTATAAGAGAGGAAAAAAGTTGTTTTAATAAGTCCTATACAAAGCCCAGAGTTTGACTTGAGAACACCTAATCCTGCTCTTCAGTTTAACTTCTTTCTCTTTCAATAGAGGTATTTCCTTACTTAGCTCTCTTTGTATAGAGTTATTTTCACTTCTTTATCTTTGTATAAAGATATCAGTTCTCTGTGTATAGAGTTCTGCAACCCAAGTCTGTATCAGCTTTCAGGGCTTGTGTCCGTCTTCATATACATATACAGATTCACAAAGCCCAGCATAACGATGTGCTTGTTTATTTCTTTTGGTTTTTTGTTTTTTTACAGAGTCTTCCACCTATACAGATGGCAAAGGTCCAATCCGTTATTCAGTCATAACATACTTCATTCATTCATTCATAATAATTAAGACAAAAGCAAGTGCTACATCCAAATTCTTATCCCTGCATGTGAGTTTGTGTATCTGTGTTTATGCTCGCTTGTCTACATTAGTGTATGCATGAGTGTACAAGTGTGTGTTGCCTTATCTAAGACCTCCTCCAGCACTCCACAGGAAGTCCTGCCCAGCAGGCAGTGTGTGAGAAGCTGCCAATGAAATTCTGCCCTCAGTGTTGCAGGGTTTCACCTGACCGTAGTCTCTGTCATAGGGATAGTGCTGCCTGTCTAAATTATTCACTGTCTCCAAATCATTAAATACTGAATCGCATAGCTGCTGTCTGCGCAGTCTATGCCTTCTCCTCCTGATCACCACCAGTCCCACACACACTCCCAAAAACACAGCCAGCACACCTAACACACATGATACCGCCACCGCTGAAGGTGAGGTCCGTCCAACCCGGGGCGCCATCAGCTCCATACCTCCCTGCACAGGAAACTCGCAGTTTGGACCCATGAACCCAGGCACACACTGACACACTGGCCCGGAGAAGTGTGTGTAGCACGTTCCCCCGTGGAGGCATGGGTTTGTTAGACAAGAGTCTGCTCGGAGGCTGCAGTTTTTACCGGTGAAACCTAGTGTACAGGTGCAGGTGTAATCGCTAATGCCATCTTGGCATGTGCCGGCATTTTGACACGGGTAGCGGGCACAGTCATCGATGTTCATCTCACAGCGAGGGCCGGTGAAACCAGGGCGACAGCGGCACAGAGCACTAGCGCCCAGATCCACACACTCACCGCCTACAGCAGAAGAGAGAAGAGGTTACATATAAGCAGGAGTAGAAAGGAAGTGTAACAGATACTGTAACAGTAGCACATGTACATGTGTGTAGATGGGTAAAAATGTTTAGAACTGAAACCGCTTAGTGGAAAGTTTAAGCAGTTTTTTTAATCAAATCAAAGTGAATGGTGACCACAGCTGTCAAGCAAGATTTTTACAGTACTTAAATTGCAGTTTTTTCCCCTCACATAAAACAACCTTTAGAAGACTTAGTGTATGGGTCATATGTGCTACTTCACTGATTTTGTTTTAACCCTTTTTGGAGCTTGAGTGTCTGTGTTCACCAACCCCTTTCATTGAATGAGCTGTGTGAGCATTCTTTAAAACCTCTCCTTTTGTGTTCCACAAAGGAAAGAAACCCAACACGAGGGTTAGAAATTGACAGAATTTTTACCTTTGGGTGAACTACCACTTTAAAGTAAAATACAGTTTGTTGATGCATTGTCCAACACAAACACTTACCATTAGCACAAGGTTTGTGGCTGCAGCGGTCCAGTCTCTTCTCACAGTTGGATCCGGTAAAGGTTGAGGGGCAGCGGCAGACGTAGCCACCAGTGATTTTTTCCTCACATGTCCCTCCATTAAAGCAGGGGTCATCCGCACATGTCATCGCAATGATCTCACAGTTCTTCCCATAGAATCCCTGAGGACATGTACAGGAGTAATCATTCTCCAAATCCTGCAGGGAAGGAGAAAGATACAGATATTAGCAAAGTTTAAACATAATTCAGGTCTCAAATAATTTTTGATCTTCAAAATCCACTGTGCACATAAAGCACACCAGAGCATATTTACTTAACCTAAATCATGACACATAGATTGAAACATTTTTTATCCTTATTTAATTTTCTATTAATAATAATCTTTTAAATAAAATACATTAAATCGAAGCTAAGTGTGCAAATGTTTCTATTTTTGAACAAACATGCTGCATCTACTAAAATGCCATGTTACGTAAAATGTAGTATATATATATATATATGCTCAGCATTTCAAATATTCTAAATTGATTTACATGTAAATATTGTTTTACTATTATGTACACCCATTCTATTATGTATGATAACTGATGACTGTTTATATATAAATAAGGTTTTATTATTATCATACGAGCATGAACTTACATTGCAACTGCCACCATTCTTGCAGGGGTTGCAATCACACTCGTTAATCTCCAGCTCACAGTTCGTGCCCCCATATCCTGGCCGGCAGGTGCAGGTATAGCTTCCCTGTCCGGTGTTGGTGCAGGTGGCGCCATTAGCACAGGGTTTGTGGTTGGTGCAGTAGTTGAGGTCCTGGTTACAGAAGAGGCCTCCCCAGCCCTCCTTACACACACACTGCCATGGCTGCGAGCAGGTCCCATGCAGGCATCCTGGGTAATGCACACACTCGCTGCAGGATGGCCCCTGCCATCCCAGACGACACTTGCACTCACCAGGTGACTCGCAGTAACCGTGCCGCTCGCTGCAGTCCGAAGAGCAGATGGCTATGGGAGGAGACAGAGAGGGGGGTTATGCACACCACACACACCACGCCCCCTGGAGAGAGCAGATGAATGGGTGTGTTAAGTGTTGGGGCCAGCAGCTGGTGAGCTGACAGAGGTAATGCACTCTTTTGTATTTTGAGCTGTGGCAAGCGTGCACACACACACACACACACACAGAACGACCCTCTAGCATGTATCTGTTGGGTTTCTTTGTTCGGCTGAACAAAAGAAGTGTAGAAGCTCTAGAGAAGCAGCTCAGCTTCCATCAGACACACATGCACACAAAGATAGGAGAGATAAGGGGATGTATTCCTGCTGCTCAGGTTCCAACACACAAACCACAATCACACATAAATACAGAGTCATCAGGAACGGGAGTGTGGGACTGCTTCTTTTCAGAGTCCTAGACATACAATCCCAAAGGGCTAAGCAGACCTCTGAGCATCTGACACACACAGGTGGTACTCACGGTCAGAGCAGTAGTCTCCCTGCCATCCCTCCAGGCATTCCCTGTTTCCGTTCTCATCGCAGGTGTAGTGTCCCAGTGTATCGTCACGAGGACGGCAGTAATCCGAACACGCCTCACCGAAGTAAAACTCATCACAGAAAACATGATATGAGTAACGTAGCTCACTCTGGTCTCCAAAATGAACATCCTGAGACCAGTCTTCTCCAATCGCCAAGCGCCTTCGTGTTGCTAAACGACTGATCAGGTTGTTTTGATTCTCTGTTGTGGAAAAATAAAGAAAAACTTAAGCTTGAAGGAATAATTGAATAAATAAATTTTTTTTTAAACTCTTATGTCTGTATGTTTGCTTTCCATCACACTGTGTAGCCCACCTGTGTAGTCATGATGCTCTTTCGGAGACTCAGCATTCCATGCCTCAATAATAAGAGAAAACGTCCCCTGAAAAGAACAAGATGTTATTTTAGATGTTAAAAAAGTATCATATCATCTTTGCTGAAACTGAGAAGCAAACATTCTCTATTGTCTTCCACTTATATGTGACCCTGGACCACAAAACCAGTCATAAGTAGCACAGATTAGTAATATGCATTGTTAAGAACTTCATTTGGACAACTTTAACTTTTTTTTTTTTGCACCCTCAGATTCTATTCAAATTGTTGCTTCAAATAGTTATATGTTCCTATCCTAACAAACATACATTAATGGGAAGCTTATTTATTCAGCTTTCAGATGATGTATAAATCTCAATTTTTTTTTTTTATTTTTTTTTATTGAACCTTATGACCAGTTTTGTGTTTCCGGGGTCACATATTTGTTATGAACTGACAGTTCCAGATTGTTGCATGGTCTTGTTTATGGTCTTACAGTAAGTGTTAAACTTAAGTGCATCTAGACAGTAATGTAAAGAATGTTCATTTAACTAAATACACCATGAAACACTGGAATATTGTTTACTAAAGTTAATCTAGTGCGTAATGAACGTTACCGGCCACTTGAAGTGGAAAGGCACCCGGATGGCTGCGCTGCTGGCTATAGAGCTCTGGTCCGCTCGCAGGACATTTGTCTGTCCGGTTCCGAAGGTGCACGGAGGCTCAGCGGAGATGACGTCTTCCGAATGCTTCAGACAAATCCTGAAAAAGATGTTGCAGTCTCGCGTCCTCCTGCAGAAGCGGCGTGTCGTGCTGAACGAGTGAACTTTCAATTCAAATACACCCGATGAAGCCACCTGTTCACGAATAGAGAAACCGTATGTGACTTCTGAAACTTTTGGAAATAATAAACAGAACACTATACCTAGGGGGCAAATATCTATAAACTCACATTAAAGAGAAAATGAATCGATAAACGGAAGTATAAGCCCTGAACTGGCTCCTTACCAACTGCAAAAGCGACACAGACAGCAGGCAGTACAAAGACAGATGCGCCATCTCGCTCAGTTAATCCTAAACTTTATTACAATAACACACAGGTATCTTCATCCGTTACTTCCCAGACTTCAAAGTGTTTGGAGATTAAGAAAAAAAAAATAGATGTCCTCGTACGAAATCCTCGTCAGGTCCATAAAAGTCCACTGTGTATTCAGAGGAAACGCGCACTCGTAATCTTCGTTCTTCAGCGCTTGCGGTTTGTCTTCATTGAATGTCTTGATAAATGGATGCTGTTATATACGCCTTGCCCCCCTGCACGTGACGTCAGCGGGGACATATGGCATAATATTGGCCTGATTAAATTGATCTGCTGCATGTGGCAGTGGTGTTGATGGAGTTAGAGTTGAAGTTAGCCTCACTGCTGCCTGTATCAAAACAGGGAATTTTAATTACAGTGATACAGGCCAGATGGGCACAGTTCTCGAGTATGAAAACCTGATGAATCTTCCTTTATTTTGTGAGGTATTAAAAATAAATTTAGCAAACAGCAAGTTTTACACTTATGTCGAATTTTAGAATTAGTTTATTATTCGTACGCCTTGAATATACGCACACAATTATGCATAGATTAATACGTTGCTGTAGACGGACTACCTGTAGCCTATTAGATTTGGTTTTGTTTTGTCTTCATTGACCCTCTATGGAAAATATTCCCAGCAGGTTGCCTACAATATGTTTTCTACAAATAAAAGTAAAACAAATAGATATGCTACTTATAATGCACCTTTACATCACCTTAGTAGCTATATGCTCTTACATGCATGCTTCAGAATGCGATTTTGTAATTGTACAGTTAGGCTATGATCATAAAGGAAGTTTGTTAAATTTGTTTGAAAATAAAAACCGTATAGCTAAATCTCTGCAACGATTTAGATGTAAAAAATGTTATCACAGTGAAAAATTCGTTTCATTATTCATTTTTATATAGGCTAACCAATTAAATATAAACAATTAGGCCTATAACATGGGCGTTTTATTAAATCGTATGTTTTTTTTTTTTCATTTAGTAAAAATTCCATGTTCATGGTTTCACTTTTTATGGTTCCTGAGTTGTATACTGTAGGCTACTTCTATCGCGCACACGTTTCTGTTTTGAATTATTTCCTCTGTCCCCTAAACACACACACACACACACACACTCAATCAGTGTGGTCGCAGTGGCGCGTGCGGGCAGGGGGAGGCCATAAGTTTTTATTTGCAATGTCCTTTGTGTCTGCAGGCACAAGTGTGTGTGTGTGTGTGTGTGTGTGTGTGTGTGTGTTTTGTTGTGCAGTATGCAGAGACGCTCAGGCTGCTCTGGAGGATGGGTGGGGAAATATCATGATGACGCTTTTGTGTGGGTCAGCTCCAACAGCTGTATGTTAACAGGCGGCACATGGTCACTTATTGTCCGCCACAAACCGCCCGAACTCACCAACCGGCATCTGTTGCAGCCATTCCATTTTTTTTTTAAACAACTTATAGGCTAGTATTTTCTGACATATAGACCTGTTTATTATTTTCCCACATTATTAGGCCTGCGGGATTAATAGAAAATATTGGAATATCGAATATAAGAACAACTGCACCTAAATCTTTATGTCATTCCGTGTTTGTGGAAACTAAATGGAATTAATGGAATATATATCTATTCATTGTTACTTATGGTTGTGTGAGTGCGTGTTTGAGGTCGGTCACGCTCGCGAGAGCTCTGCTGTTGTTATGGTAATGAATGACGCGTGCCTCAGAACCCTTTCATTAAGCCATATCACAATGCATCACTTTAATGTCTTTTAAAAGACATCATATATAATGTCTCCAAGACCACAGATATATGTAAATTAATCTTCAAAGTGTGAAGACAACAGTCAGTCAGGAGAAATACCCTGACACTGTAAGCAAACAAAATCACTTTATTCAACTATTATGATTCTATAGCCTAGTTGATTAAGGCGATGATGTGGGAACAAAGGCCCATTTTATGCCACACACTGTGTTGTATCTCATGTAGCCTATTGGTAGAGAAGAATGCCCAAAACATCAGAGATGCGCTGTGTGGTGATATGCTGCAGGCACAAGTGTGTGTGTGTGTGTGTGTGTGTGTGTGTGTGTGTTTTGTTGTGCAGTATGCAGAGACGCTCAGGCTGCTCTGGAGGATGGGTGGGGAAATATCATGATGACGCTTTTGTGTGGGTCAGCTCCAACAGCTGTATGTTAACAGGCGGCACATGGTCACTTATTGTCCGCCACAAACCGCCCGAACTCACCAACCGGCATCTGTTGCAGCCATTCCATTTTTTTTTTAAACAACTTATAGGCTAGTATTTTCTGACATATAGACCTGTTTATTATTTTCCCACATTATTAGGCCTGCGGGATTAATAGAAAATATTGGAATATCGAATATAAGAACAACTGCACCTAAATCTTTATGTCATTCCGTGTTTGTGGAAACTAAATGGAATTAATGGAATATATATCTATTCATTGTTACTTATGGTTGTGTGAGTGCGTGTTTGAGGTCGGTCACGCTCGCGAGAGCTCTGCTGTTGTTATGGTAATGAATGACGCGTGCCTCAGAACCCTTTCATTAAGCCATATCACAATGCATCACTTTAATGTCTTTTAAAAGACATCATATATAATGTCTCCAAGACCACAGATATATGTAAATTAATCTTCAAAGTGTGAAGACAACAGTCAGTCAGGAGAAATACCCTGACACTGTAAGCAAACAAAATCACTTTATTCAACTATTATGATTCTATAGCCTAGTTGATTAAGGCGATGATGTGGGAACAAAGGCCCATTTTATGCCACACACTGTGTTGTATCTCATGTAGCCTATTGGTAGAGATAAACTTTGTCATGTGGGTGAGAGGACAGATGACCAGGTGAGGAAAACAAGCATGCAAATTTGTGATCAGTAGCCTATTAATACAGCAATTGTGCACACCTTTTACAACAAAAGCTTTTATTATAAAGAAGGTCTTTCAGTTAATGATGACCTGAATTAAAGACTTTACCTTCAAGCTGTTGTCCATGAACAAAGACTCTTTATGATAAAAGTCATGTAGTAACAAGTAAATCTCAGGTGTCAAAAATGATAAGCAGATCCTGTTGCAAAACACACACAAAAAAATCCACATCCAGGCACCTAAGCGAGTAAAAAGCCTTTATTCTAAGACATGGCTACATATTAAAAAGACACCATCCCATAACAGGTGTTTTACCTATCCCATCCATATAATGTGCAGCTATAAAAGTAAAACAACTAAAATCAGACAGAACTGAAACAGAAATAGTTGTGACTATCGCATGCAAGGTTGTTTAATCCTTAAATGAAAGCTATGCAAGTTAAGATTGAGTTAAAAGCAATTGACACATGGTCTGGGCTAAAGGCTGGTAGCAGGATTTAGGCATTTGAGATCCCTGACATCTGCACAGACAAGAGAAAGAGAAGCACGTATCCAAAGAGAAAATCTCAATATAGCATTCAAAAGTGCTTAGCTGAAGAGGGCAAACAAGTCAATAAAATAGGAAAAACACTTTCTTCAGAAAACAGTGAAAACGATGCTCTTACAATTTACAGACACAATTCCAATTTTTTTCTTAGAGAGGATTGTTGTTTCTTAAAAAAATCCTTCAGGTCCCACAAATCCATTGGTTTTCCAGCATCTTTTGCATATTTGAACCTTTTCCAACAATGACTGTTTGATTTCGAGATCCATCTTTTCACACGGAGGACAACTGATATGCAACTATTACAAAAGGTTCAAACGCTCACTGATTTTGTAATAGTTGCATGTAAGTCTCTCAGTTGTCCTCAGTGTGAAAAGTTGGATCTCAAAATCATACAGTCATTGTTGGAAAGGGTTCAAATACAGAAAAGATGCTGAAAAACAACAGCTGTGGATCATCCAGGTAACAACAGTATTAATAATCAAGTGTATGTAAACTTTTGAACAGGGTGATTTTTATCATCTATTATTTTCTCTTGTGGACTATATGTAAACATATTTTATGTGAAATATCTTATTCAGGTCAGTACTAAATAGAAAATAACATGCATTTTGTATGATAATGGTAAAATAATTAACGTATTTTGCAGATACTGTAGAGTGTAACATTTTGACCACAACTGTGTGTGTGTGTGTGTGTGTGTGTGTTTCTGTTTCTCTTAAGTTTAATATTTTTAAATGTTTTTTCAGTGTTTATAATCTGAGGACAGGTGGTTTTAGGGAAAGTGAGTGATAATACCATTATTTTAATAAAATAACGAGAAAGTCAATGAAATAGTAAATTTATGTCAAGAACATTTTAATGATAGTTTCTGATTATTTTCACCCTGAAAATGTTGCACTTTTATCATTGTGGGTTTTGTCCCATGTCTCAAGAACCAATGTTTATTTAATCAAAATCAGAAGATCCTATAGTGGATGCATTTTAATAATATTAGACACTTATTCCTATTCCTAATCTAATCATAAAGCATCTGTTAATCTCATTATTTTAGTAAGAGAATGATTGTGTGTTTGCATTAAATTATTGCATGTGTGTTGACTCATTGTCTGTGTAGTGCAGATGGGCAATGACTGATTTGTGTCTTGTAATGTGGGTGTTGGGGGATGGTGGTCCCTTGAGGTGGGACACAAGCGTGGCAGGAGCATGGGAACCCCAGAACACCCTTCACTCCACATGCATACATCCATATTTATGAACCCACATCCAGACATCTCAAATCTCACATATGTGCAGGCCTGCAAAAAGGCACATACACAGACTTTCCTCTCAGTCATTTTTAGTCACCCTGTCCAGTACCTCAAACACCATCATGTTCATCTTAATTAAGATTTCACTAATGATTTAAAAATAATGACTGAAAATCCCTTCATAAATGAAATTAACTTGCACATTCATTGTCCATTCACAATGCTCAGACTCAAAAAATCCGACTTTGCACACATACAACTTCTCACATTCATTCACTCACATCGCCATATCCTCTTTCGAGTCTTTAGATGACACCCGACCCAGGATTTCCACACACGTCATGACATCTGCTCACCCTAGAGACCAGCTCCCATAGGGCACACACACACACACAGTTCATCTGCCTACATTAGTGACCCACACCGGACCAGCATCCTGAGGACACACACTCTCTAACTGCATCTGTTGGGCCTTGAGCCCTTTGGGACGACAGACCAGTCCTTTCACACACACACACATATACACACGTACAAAATCTGCTGGCTTTGAGGGAAGTACTGACCTTTGCCCAATGATCAAACTATGTAAATGTGCGTAGGATCTGAGCTGCTGTGGGTGTTTATGTATGTGCAGCTGCTGTGTTCAAGTAAAAATGACAGGAATAATCTCACAGAAACAAAACTCATATATTCAGACAAGCGCACTGTTGAAAACACAATAAGACAGAGCAGTGTTCTTGAGGTCAGTGTGAGTGGTCATGGGGGATTCGTATTTGAATCTGGCCCGTACATTTTCTCAACCTATTCCCTTCTCTCTTTTTACATCTGTGTCAATGAAAAAGATTAAGAATTTTTTTTAAATGCAATAATATATAATTTGCTGTATTAAATATTAAATACAAAGCATAATAGATATAAATATTTATTATTTACTTTGAGATTTTTCCCAAGGTGTGGACATCTCATTCAGATTTAAAAAAAAATTGTCTCAACACAACAACCAAAACACTTGAACCTATTAGTAGGTGAAAATGAAAAACATTAATATTCATATGTGTTAGACATTACATGTCAGAACAGGTGCACTGAACACACCGCAACTACACAGACACACGACTGGCTCATGCAGTTGAATAGGCTGGAATGACATGGGCCCCACCGTGAAGCTCTGAACCTCTGAGGAGGAAAAGAGGGCCTCACAGCAGAGGTATAGCGTTGGGTTATTAGAGAACCCAGAGTGACAGATGTAGGATAAAAGAGAGGGCAGGAGAATCAGCAGGGGTGAAAGAAAGAGACGAAAAGGTGAAGAGGTCAGCAGACCAACAGAAGAAGGGGAGGAAAAACAGAGATGTACTTGAAAAAGAAGATCATAAAGATCGATAAATCTATCTGCTGTTGCTGTTGCAGTCTGCCTCTTTTGTTCCAGATGGCAGCTGATAGAGGCAGGTTTGATGGAGAAATCACGTCGAACCACACATATACTAACGTTTGGGGTAGGTTTTTGAAAGACGTCTCTTATGCTCACCAAGGCTGCAGTTATTTGATCAAAAATACAGTAAAAGCAGTTAAATTATGATATATAACAATTTTAAATAACTGGTTTCAGAACCAATAACTTCAGAAATCATTCTAATGTGCTGATTTGCTGCTTTTTTCAGGATTCTTTGAGTAATAGAAGTTCAAAAGAACAGCATTTATTTGAAATACAAATATTTTGTAACAAAATAAATGTCTTTACTGTAACTTTTGATCAATTTCATGTGTCCTTGCTGAATACATGTCTTTAAAAATCTATTTTTATACATGCACAAAAACAGTTGGAAAATGTTATTTTCATTGTTTTCCTCGAACAAAAAAGGCTTCTTAAAATCAAGACCAGCTTTAACATGGACCTGAAAGTTTCAAGTTACAAACTTGAACAGGTAAACAAGTTACCTATCTATTACCTATCAAGTTACCTTGATCTGCCTAATAACTTAAAGCTGCAGTCCATAACTTTTTTTGGTTAAAAATGATCCGGCGTCCGAAATCGCATACTTCCATACTATATAGTAGGCGAAAAACAGTATGCGAGGCGAGTAGTATGTCCGAATTCATAGTATTCGAAAAACAGTAGGCGAGAAGTACCCGGATGACCTACTACTTCCGCCCGAATTCCGTAGCATGCATACGATGGACACTTTACTATCCCATGAGGCCACGGGAGAGGAGGCGTCATATTCGAAAATGGCGGAAGGCGGCGACGCGGCTCTTTTCAAGTGTAAGTACCTCAGGGAAAAACGTTGTTCATTGTGGTTAAATTGCACTTGTTTAACATGATCTAAGTGAACGGCTGACTTGTTGAAAGTTTAAACATTGTGAATCGGCTGTAAAAAGATGTTTAATCATTGTTATTACTGAGCACATCAAGTTAACGAACAGATCCAGCTAGTGTCAATGCTTGTTAACTGCTTTTTTAACGGAGACGTTCGTTGTTAAGCAGTTTAATGAGATTAGAAAATTAAATAAAAAAATTCCCCCTCTTTTACTAATATTTAGTTGATATTTTGTTAGCTACATACTAAGCTACTGTTAATAAATATGCCACAGCTTGTCAATGTAGCATTAATGGATTGATAATGACTAATGGTTACTGCTTTGACATTACAGGGACTGATGAACACACTCAGCTCCTTATTCAGTGGAGAGCGGCTAATGAAGCCCTCTTCACTGGAAAGCTTAATGCTGCCATCAAAGGTTGAGAGTAAGTAAAGTAGTTCGTTCAAATCCAAATGTAATACCTACTAAGCAGTATGCGATTTCGGACGCACCCATACTCTTCAGAACATTAGATCCATCCGCGCTGGAGCCGTGCCGACTCACAACCCATGCAAGCTAGATAATTCCGCACCCAGCTGCAATTCCAGGTTTTCAAACAGAGATGGCGTCAACGAGGCAAAACTTACGGACTGCAGCTTTAAAATAAATGCAAGAGAAGCTGTTTTCAAACCCAAATGTCAAAAAAAATATATATATATAAAACCCGCAGCTGAATGTAACCTAAACCGAAAACAAAACCTATTATTGTGTATCCGGTGTGCTGTCCATTAGATGGTCTATAAGATGAATGACTGGTACATTATACAGACATATTCACAATCTGTAGACAGACACAATATTTTTTTTTTTTCAGCAGAATTCCCTAACCACACAATAGGGCTACCAGCTGCCGTCTTACACACGCACAAAGCATTCTCAACCACAACCCTACATCAGCACACACACCCAACACCACACTGCATCAGAAACACACACACACACACACACACCAGCAGCTGTTTAAGCAGAGCTCTTCAGCCCTGGAGAGCTGGAGAACAATGCTTGAGTTTTAATCACTTCTCCTTCACTCCTGCCTGCAACTTCCACTGAGAAGCTGGGTGTCCATGTCAGTATTTCAATATATAGTATAGACACAAAAATGTGTGTCCAAAAAGGAACATAAAATCAGTAGATCTTAAAATACACACTAAACGTTCAATTCAAACTTTCAGTTCAAATTTATTGAAATATCTGGCTCACTTATGGAGCTGTTTTCATTTAGAAACCAAACACACACACGCACACAAACCTCAAGCTGCTGGAAAACCCAATGACTTTGAAGAAACACGTGCAGAAAAAGAATCATTTGAAAACCATCGTGAGTGTAAATTAAAAGACACACTGCCCTCTAGTGACAAAACAACAGCATTAACAGTTTCGAATATGAAATTCAGTTCCTGAAGATGTACATTTGACCCAGTTTCTTAAATCATTGTGCACAAGCATACAAAATTTTTTTTAAAAGATACACTGGAAAAGAATGTCCTACTATACAAAATATGAGACCTATTTTAATGAGATCCAGATGCCTCAAACCTTATTTTACACCGTATACTGGTCTTAGAAAAGTTTTAGTTGTCCTTATTTAAACAACATTATATGTGACTGCATGTACTCGTGTATATATAATGTTTCCTGTCTGTGAAAGTTAATAACATCAAATATCACAGAAGCATTGTCTCTCACAGAGTTGTAATAAATATGAAACATGTCTGTGAGTAAATAGAACACACTCCTTGCAGCAGCATTAGGATGATAAACTTGCTACAAATACACCTCATTCTCATAACATCCAAGAGATTATCATGACTGATTACAGAATTTTTAAACAATGACTTGAAATGCCTTGTCTGTCATCAGAAATGTCTCTGATTTCTTTTTCTCCATAAAATATCCATCAATGGTCACCAAAACTCAAATCCTCAAAATCTCTTCTTTTGTGTTCTGCAGAAGAAAGTAAGTCATACAGGTGTGGAACAACATGAGGGTGAGGAAATGATAACAGAATTTTCATTTTGGGGTGACCTATCTCTTTAACTCGTCGACAGATGTTACATAAAATGTATACATCAGTGTCAGTCCTGTAAATGTCCTCGCAACAGGTTAATTTCAACAATCCCAAATTTCAGGGAATGAAGAAAAAAAGTTCTATTTTGTTGTGGAAGATGATATTACTATAGGCACAAACAAAATCCCTTTGTGGTCACACTATTGTTTTCACTTCACCAAAGTCTGTCCTATTGATAAACAGACTAGGGACAAATGTTAACATCTTTGCATTTTTGAAAAACAAATCAAAAGCGTCTTCTAAAATAGTCGTCTTTATCTTTGCACTTAATCACAGTATTTTGACACCCTGACATTGTGCCCCCCTGATGGCCACCAAGGTTCCAGTAGCCGGGTTTCCATCCAAAGTTGCGAATTTAACTTATGCGCAAAACCGAAATATCGCATAAAACATTTGCGAACAAGCATCGTTTCCATCCAACAAGTCAAAGAGAACAAAATCGTCACTTCCTGATAAATTGGTACTATAAATCACTATATAATAATTTTATATATAATAAATTACTTTATTATATATATTGTTTGGTGTTTCCATCACTCGTTTCTCATGCGATACTTCAAAATGCGCATTAAAATAGGGTGATGGAAACAGCTAGTGAGAAGGTGTGTCCGTCTATATCACACGTTTGTAGCCATCATATCAACAATGCGTCACACACTGTGTCGTCATTTGATTGCTAAACACAAATTTCACAATGCAGGTTTGCCGTTGACCTTTTCCTGCAGTATTGTTAGCGCGCCGGAGGCAAAATCTCGCAACACTTGCACAGTGTCCCTCTGTAGCTGCAGCGATTCTCGTGCAAACTCCTGTTGCGTCTCTGCTAGCTGCTGCACTGACTCCGCAAGCAGCTCAAGCGAACGGGAGACGGTGGCTAGAAGAGCATTAGCGGTGTGCTGCTCCTGCACGCTGAGGCTTGCGTTGTGCACTAACTGCTCACGTGAACTGTCTGGCTCCACCCCTGAGAAAGACGGGGGTCTTTTAGTAGAAGCGGTGGCTGTTGAGGAAACGTGTCCAGCACTGCCTCTAGTTGCAATTCCATCCACCTCAGAGTATGAGTTAGTGACAGATGCCATAGAGGATGATGGGAAGAGGTCACGGTTGTCCTCATCGGAGTCTAAGTGAGATTCGGGATCTGTGATCAAACAAGTAAACAGTATACATCACATGATCATTTGCTTCTGATAGACATATACACACAAATATATGTATAGTTTTTTTTATAAAGCTTTTATAGAGCTTATAGAGAAATATGTGCATCAAAAACATCATGTGACTTTGCCTCAAGTCATGTGACTGAAAAAAAAGGAAAGTCTATGCTGTCTATGTTGTTAATATCAGACATGAGGCATCTGCCAGCAAACATGACGTTCATCAGTTTTGTCTGCTCGCTTTAAAAAGTAATGTATTATATTTATTAAAATAGCAACTGTGAATTCCCCAGGGGCTACAACTTCCTTTCACGTCAGTTTTCCTAGAAGAGATTTTTTGTTTTGAACAGATGGGATGAAATTATTGCTTTATATGCAAATTGTTTTTGTAATATTCAGACTTTTTACAGAAATTCAATTTACAATGTAATGGAAAAATACACTGTTATCAGGGGTCAGGTTAATGTTTTTTGTTTTTTTTGTTGAAGAAATGAATACTTGTATTAAGCAAGGATGCATTAAATTGATCAAAAGTGATTGTAAAAACATGTATAATACAAAAGATTTATATTTTAAATAAGTGCTGTTCTTGGAATGTTTTATTCATCAAAGATGAATCCTGAAAAAGTTTTTTATTAACTAAAACTATTTTCAGTGTTTCAGCATATTAGAATGATTTCTGAAGGATCATGTGACACTGAAGACTGAAGTAATGGCTGCTGAAAATTCTGCCTTGCTATCACAGGAATAAATTTCATTTTATATATTTAAATAGAAAACAGTTCATTTAAATTGTTATAATAATAATTCATAATATTACTGTTTTACTGTATTTTTTGATAGAATAAATAGTCGTGATGAGCGTAAGAAACATCTTTCAAACAAATCCTACGACCCCCAAACTTTATAACATTAGTGTTGCTTTTGAAAACATGGTTGATGGTTCATTATTGAGATCAGAGGAAAATATGTGAATACTTAAAGTGCACTGAAAATTCTTGCAGTGAACTTTTCCTGGTAACGGATCGCTGATGTGTACAAAATCATTATTAAACATCAGTGATAATTATCCACTGAAACGCTAAATCTATTGAAAAAGAGAAAGGAAAACTTGAAATCGCATCATATGACCCCCTTTAATATGATCCAACTGGAATATTTTGAGTTTGTTTACCTCCAGGTTTGGAGTTATCATACTGCATCTCACCCCCAGATCCACTTGTAGTAGCAGGCATTCCTCCCACATCCATTCCTCTGCTCGGGGAACTGTTGACCGACCCCATCCCCATAAACCCTCCATCCTCCTCTTCCTCATCCTCACCCACAGTCTCTTGATCATCACCGTGACTGCGAGATCTGGACCGCTGTGTCGCTTCCCACGGTCTCTTGTCCAGTTCGAGGATGGATTCTACGATGACTTCCATCGGGGACAGTTCAATATTGGACCGTGCCAATCTTAGGGACACAGAAGCACCGGTCCTCAGGGCGGCCACTTTACGTTTCGTGTCGCATTTAAGGTCTGACCATTTCTTGATCACCTCCATGATCTCTCTGTCACACTCTCCAATCTCATTAACACGCGCCGTGATCTCAGCCCATTTCCTGCGCTTCACGTCAGAGGGAACGCCGGCGTTAAACTGACCTATGCACACGAAAACAAAAGTATTGGAACATTTTCATTTACTATTTATTGGTTTTATAGGGACAACTAAAATTACTGGTGGTTTGCTGCACTAAGTGAACTTTTGCTTGTCAAAACGAGGTAAAACTCACCCACAACAATGTGGCGGTTCTTCCGCACTTCGTCCAGCAGGATGTGCACTTCACTGAAGGAGAAACGTGCCTTTCTCCTCTTGAAGCGCACCATGTTGTCTTGTTTGAGGTAGAGCGAAGACACAGACATCTTCACAGCAGAATATCACTCTTTTCAGCTACGGGGAGTCTGTGTTCAGTGTAGAAATTACATAAAAATTTTTTTTTAAAAATGCCATTCAATTAGTTCTACAAACTGCATTGTACAATATTTGATTTTCATCTTACGTTTTGGCCATATAACAATATAACAATACATATAACAATATCTGACCAAATCTCAGATATATATATATATATTTTTTTTTTTTTCCCCCCCCAGACTAATATTTCATATATCAGGCTTTGCATGGTTAAACGCAAGAAACATTTACTTGTGTTCTAGAGCCTACTTAAAACGTGAGAAATTATCTACAACAATTTCTTTACAATTTATGTTGCAGAATTGACATAACATGGTCATAACACCGAATATATAGCAATTATTTAAAAATACCTAAATAAAACTATAAAACTCAACACTTACGGAAAATAAAATATTGGAAGAGTCCTTCACTTCATTTTATTTATCTATTTACAACTGTTATAATTATTCATATATACACATTCAAGCGATCACTTCTGAATAACGTCAAAGTGGAAACGTTGCCATTTAAAAAAAACCTAATGGCACTGTAAAGTTGAGGTATGACTCACGTCTCTTAAATCAGTACATAAATCACGTACAACTAAACTAAAGATCCATATCCCCCTGTAAGGTGAGCATGCAGTGAACAACAGCGTCACCGTGAGTGCAAAATAGTTCACATTAATTATTGACATCAATAATTCACTTGGTTTTCAGCTACAAGGTGATCTTAACACATGATGAATGTGACAGAAGGAAGAGCAACTAAAACATTCATCCATTCATTCAATCACGAGCGTATATTTCCATCGAGGTGTACTAAAACTGTAGTTGCATAATTACATCGACATAACGATCACGCGTTCCGTCTTTGTGCCGAGAAGCAGCGCCGTCGTTGTAAAGCAACTGAATTACATTAACGTTAAACCAAACACAAGCATGCCCAAGCAGCACACAACTATTGTCCAGTACAAATAATTCATGTTTGTCTACATAGAATATCATTTTTGTCATAACGAAACAAAACGCTTGGATGCGGAAGCACATTTCGCCCTCATTTTCTTATTACCTACATCATCACTGTGTCTAGCTATTTAAGCTAGCTAGCTATTTTACACGATATGTGGTATCACAGTCACTTTATCGGTCAGTTTGTAAACTCCTGAAACGCCGTAAGCATATAAAAGTACTTTAAGACTGCAAATGCGTGGCATAAATACCTCAGAGTAGTCAAATGTAATCAATATTTTGCGTTGCGCCCAGATATCCAGAAACTTCGTAGAAAGCGGCGTATGCGCTGCGCCTGCGCACTTGCTCGCCTGTTCTCCGTGGCGTAGAAGGGTGGGTGTAGTTACCAGGTCTGACCGCTCCTGTATCAGTGGCGCTGGTGCTCACTAACCCCAACAGGTTCAGTAGACACGCTTTAGCTAAAACTGACGGTAATAGTCCATTAAAAAAACATTTCGCGTTTTTATGAATATATTTAGGTTTTATTTATAGCTATTGGAATTAAATGTAAGCCGGATATATAATATATTATAATATGTAGAAACAAATATTACAGCAATAAAACACATCATTCATCATCAAATTAATCAATAATTAAACTGATGAAAAACACAGACAAGTTTATCACTTTATACTTTTTATTTAATATAAAATTGCATTTGACACTAGATTTTCATGATGAATTTGTGGCAATTTTTTACTCCTTTCCCCCATTGGCTTCATGCACAAATGGCACCAACTGACATGAATATGTAATACAGTTTTGCATATTTGTGACTGCACCTAGACTCTTCATTAGAGCATATTTGTTAATTTTCTATGACACATTTATTGTAATTTTCTTTCTTTGGTTAGTTTTTTGTTGAACAATGCTACTAATTGGCTAAACGGCACTTAAAAAATTGTAAAAGTAAAACTTGTAGAGAAAAAAATGGCAAGTGAAGTGACCCACATAACCCCAGTGGCTGACCAGCTCCATGCTGGTGTTTCTCTGGAATTAGTGCTATACAGTGTGAGAAACAAGAGAGCGAGAGCAGTGTAAAGCATAAAGTCATTATTGTATATAAGCACTGAACTGATTGTTTCGATCTGAACTATCTGCAGGCCTTCACATCGCTCAAGAGTACATTGTCAGCTGCAGCCACTGTGAAGAGACAGTTTATTTTATAATTACATATCACAGAACATTTGATCCTCGGTAAATTTGATACTAATTTTAAGAGAATGTCAACATTTTCTTACCTCCTGAACATTCACCTTGACTGTGCCATCATTGTCTTTGTCAAGAGTCTTGAAGGCACCTGGTGTGAACATATGACACGAGTCAATATGTTTTAATGCTTCATTAAAGAATCATTTCATTTATTCTGTATAAATTTACTGACACATAGCTAAGAGGTTTAAAATCACATTTTAAAGATAGTTTACACTACGCAAACACACTTTAACTTTCAGATCCAAAGAGCCATCCCAGAGTCTAAAACGACAATTTATTAAAACAGAGCTGAAAAACATCTAATTCCAAAATTACTGGATTTTTAGACCTCATCAATTTGATCTCTTTTATATACATACTCAAAGAATTAACAAAATAGGCGAAATTTCCCAAAGCCTGCAGGGGGAGCAAGAAGTAATTGAATTGAGTAAATTTGACAAAATACCCTCAATTCCTCAACAGCTGCCCTTAAAAATGCATGAAAATGAATTAACGAACAATGTTTTCTCTCTTGTTTTGACATGTTCCAATAGTCTTTAGGTTACTCCAGAGAGTTTTGATACTTGCTATGGACCTTTTTCACATTTCCGGTTTTCTCAGCAGCGGAAGTCGTCATAGTTGAATTAACTTGAAGAGCAGTGAATGGGAGAGTACCACAAATATAATGTTTTGCTTTCCCATTTGCTCAAATAGCAAAAGAAAAACTCCACGATAGTGTTTTCATGACTTTCAATAAAAGGAAAAAAAAAACTGAGAGACTGATAACGGCAGTCAGAAGAGAGAACGATGTCAAATTTACCGTCCCTCCCATAGACGCTGCATTAGAAACACCCTCGCATTAGTGTTAACTACTTATTTTTGTAATTTGATACAAAGGTGATATAATACAAATTATAGTGTTATAAATGTATACACATTTAAAAAATATATATATATATATAAAAAACTTTCAAGGATTTATGATGCTGATGACTGTTAAGCATGTCATCACAGTCTTGTGAAAAGGGTCCATTGCTAATCAGAGACATGTGGCAATGGGGGAGGGGAAATTCTAATTTTAGAAAGCATTTTATTGGACAAACACTTGTAGTGCTTGTGTGTGCAAGCAGAGTCATCATTCAACTAGAGCTGTACACTACCACATGGCTTCAAAGCTGACACTGACTAAAGGGCACAAAACTTATATAAAGTGCCTGCATATCTTAAGAGTGAACATTAAAGGGGTCCTATTATGCTTTTTCATTTTTTCAACTTTAGTTAATCTGTAATGTTGCTGTTTGAGCATAAAAAAGATCTGCAAAGTTACAAAGCTCAAAGTCCAATTCAAAGGAGATATTTTATTTAATAGAAATCACTTTTCAAACGTTCATGCCAGACTGGGGAGAGAGGTGTTGTAATAATGTAAAATATGTGAAAAATAATGTGTTTTTCGAACAACCTAGTATGAGAGCCTGTTCTAGTACACCCCCAAAACAAAATCAAGACTTTGTAAAAGAGCATAATAGGACCCCTTTAAGTTAACCACGTAGCTGTCATTTTATTAAATGGCTACTAAACAAGCCATCTTTTAGATTAAAGAAAACAAGATAAAAGTCAGTGCATACATTTCCAGATCCTGTTACTCCCTTATTTCCTCGTCATTTTCTTTGCTCACTCTACTTTATGTACTCCAGAAAGAAACTAATTCACTCTGCTAAAACTATAAACAAAAAAAAAACACCTTATTCTAGAATCGACTTACGGCACATGGCATCAAGTCTCACAAGGCAACCAATGTAATTGTCAAAGTCCATGTTTCCACTCTCATCGCTATACCGGCGAATAATCATCTGAAAGAGCTGATCATTCAAAGGGAAACCTGTCAGAGTTACAAGAGACAGAAAATGATTTAGAGGATGAACAAAGTTCAAATGTGATCACCACAATGAACATATAATTAACGGTCAACCTGCTTTGTTATTATTACAATGTCATAGTATAAGTAAACAAATATTGTGTACTCTTTCTCCATGTTACTTATACCCAGATCTCCTGTTTTATATTTCAGCTAAAGCCTGCAGACGTTTGATTGTTTCAGGACTACTGTTAAAACTACATTTTTCTATCACCACCCATGGTTGTGCATTGTGGGTGTTGTAGTTTCTCTAATTTTTTTGGCAAAAGATAACACCACAGCTCTTTCTGTGTTTTTTCTAGTCATATGGCATCATTTCTACAGTTATATTAAAGTCCATCTTGTCAGTGGTGAATTACCAGCGTTGTTCAGAGCCCATTTCCCACATAGGACTAATATTGTCAAAGATCTTATTTTTACCAATCAATTCTCATGCTATCTTATTAAGCCCTTTATGTCCTAAATATACACACTGATCCCCTAAAGAACACATTAACTGAGATTTATTAATGTCGCCAGTATAGATGGTGATATTGTGATGCACAATGGCTGTTTACCTGCAGCTCTGAAGGCAGCTGGAAGCTCATCTGCTCCAATAGTTCCTGAGCGATCGCTGTCATAACTCTTATAAACTCCCTATAAAACAGACAGCTCATTATGTTAACTGGGTTATCCTGATGTCTTACTGTTTCAGTCATTAATCTATTTAGTCTTAATACAGAGTTTCTGTTGTACAGTCATAGCAAAACATGTAACTCTTTAATCAGCAATATGAATAGACCAAAACACAGCAACTAACAAATACACAGCTTAATAAATCAAAACTCTATTTCCAAATCACACAAAGGCACATCTTCCAGCTGTGGTGTTACATCTTCTACTCACCTGCCATTTCTTGATGTTGTTCCAGAGGTGTTTAAACTCATGGAAGCCCAGTTTACCTGTGCTGTCACTCTGGAGCACAGTGTCAAGATCAAACACCATCAGGCAATCTCAATATCAGCCTCAAAGACTTATGGTATTGGTCGATATTGGATATTCATTGTTTAATTTATATAACATTTGATGTCACTTAATATCTATCTTTCATACTGTACATTATAATGTTGCATTGCCTAAATTCACTCGTAGCATCTAAAATAGGATGTCTTCAGACTGACTGGAAACTTCCAGGTAGGCCCTTTAGACACCTCTGATCTAAAATTACTGATTTTATGTTTTATTTTTATTTAAATTATACAGCCATTTACAAGTTATCCGCCATGACAATAATTATCACTTTGTCAGTATTCACCAGAATTGTTGTAACAGATTTTCTACTAAAATCACTGTGAAAAATGCGAACTCCATCTTTGTTGGTTTGTATTAGAACAAGTGTTCAGATCAAATGAGGCAGGATACATCCATGACAGCCACCATACTTCTACATGACTCGATGGTAAAGCCATCTGTCTTCAGATCACCATCTGCAACAACACAAAGGGCAGAGAGAATCAGCATCATGTAGCAGCAGACATCAGGCTACACACACATACACACATATACCACTCACGTTTGGAAATGATTTTGTTGAGGATATTCATCAGTTCATTGGGGCTTACTTCCATGTCCTGAAACCAAAGGAAACGTTTACGATAGCCAGTGTTTAATGTACGTATTGGTGTATATATGAATATTTGTTTGTCTAATACTAACCTCTCCAGCGAGCTGCTGGAACACTCTGCGGAACTGCTTCTCTTCTTCAGACTCATTGGCCTCAGCATAAGCCAGCGGTCTGCGGGGTGGGGGCTGGGGAGGGTTGGCAATAATATCAGCATCTCAAATGCACATCATTTTCTCTCCACACTTTATAAGCACAACCCTAATGCAAATATTCTTAATGTTGCAAGAACTCTCGATCACTCATATTTTGACTAAGCAATCCAGTGACTCTCTAGCTGACATAATGGACCAATGTGCTTTACTCTACAGCATCTTTAAGATACAGATATTACTTCACCACAGATTTATATTCAGTTTGATATACATTATCAATGTATAAAACTGTAGATATATAAAATCAAATTACAGACACAATATTAAGCATTTAGCTATTTTTTAATACGTGACCCTGGACCACAAAACCAGTCTTAAGTCGCTTGGGTATATTTTCAGCAATAGCCAAAAAAACATTGTATGTGTCAAAATTATCAGCAATTTCAAAAAATTGACCCTTATGACTGGTTTTGTGGTCCAGGGTCACAAATGATTACAAAGTGATCATAAATGCATTCTCTCAATGTGTCTATTGCCCTATTATTGGTATATCAACAAACAATTTCATTGTTTAATCATTATTTCTGTATCAGTAATTGGTAAACTTGTATATATATAACATGTATTTTCAATTATTTATCTACATTTTTTATTAAAAAAGAGATAATTTTTAATTGATTATATTAATTCATTATATATTTACATGCTGATAATTGAT